AAGTAGCTACGGAAATGAGGAGATACAACTTGACGGTGCTGGAATTAGCGAAACCCATTGCACCCAACCTGGACAACAAAGGTTAGGTTCGGGAGAAATGCTTCTGTACTCTGGTCACGAAGAAGAAAATGGTCCAACACTCAGGGAGTTGCTGTCATGCTGTTCAAAGAAAGCATGTAATGCACATATAGGATGGGAATCTCATGGATCCAGGATCGTCTAAGCATCTTTCAAAACAAAGAAGGTGGGAATCACAATGAATCTTATCGATTATTATGCACCTACCAATGATGGCAACGACGACAATAAAGATCTGTCTTACGAGATACTGCAGTTAATCGTAGAGACGTTCCCAGGAAAGGATATGACCATCTTGATAGGTTACCTAGACGCCACGGTCGGAATGTACAACACAGGGTATAGAGATGTCATCGGACGATATTGACTGGAAGAAAGAAACGAGAGTGGTGGGAGATTCGCAAATCTATGTGCATTCAACAAATTGGTTATAAGTGGTAAAATATTACCCCACAAACGCACACATAAAGCTGCATTTGTCTTACTAGATTACACTACACAGAACCAGACCGATCATATCTGTATCACTAAAGAATTCAGGAGGACAATGAGAGACGTGAGAACCAGGAGAGGAGCTGACATAACTTCAGATTACCGCCTGGTTGTGACCGAGATGAAACTGAAGCTAAAGAAACACTGGCGGAACAGCATTATAAAAGTTCAGTACAGACTTCCCTCGAGATACTGACAAACAACCAATTCAAGGTAGCCTTCAACAGCAGGTTCCAAGCCTTACATGATCTATTAAAGAAGAAATTACTATGGATGGGAATTGGATAGAGATCAAAGAAGCTATAATTTCAACGTGTCAGGTGGTGCTGGGACTCTAAAAGGAATGGATCTCTATCGAAACCCTGGACAAGAAAGGAAGTACAAAAAGACAGCAATTAACAACAGCCGAACAATAGCAGAGAAAGTCAAGGCACAAGCCGAGTACATAGAAGCAAACAAGCAAGTGAAGAAGAGCAATAAATCGGACAAGCAGAAATACGTGAAAGAACTGGCGACGACGGCGGAAAAAGCTTCAAGAGAAGGAAATATCAAACAGCTTTATGATACAACGAAGAAACTAGCAGGGTGATATAGTAAACCAGAGAGACCGGCCAAGGACAAAGAAGGCAAGCCAATCACTGAAATTCAAGAACAGCGGAACAGATGGGTGGAACGTTTCAAGGAACTCTTGAATAGGCCAACTCCATTGAATTCAGCGGACATGGAAGCAGCACCCACAGACCGTCCATTAGATGTCACTCCAACAACGATTGAAGGAACCAGGATGGTCACCAGACAGATGAAGTGCTGGAAAGCAGCAGGACCTGACAATATACCAGCTGAAGCTCTGAAGTCAGATATAGAAGTAACTGAAAGTATGCTTCACGTTCTATTCAGGAGGATTTTGGGGGAAACACAATTGCCTTTGGACTGGAAACAAGGACACCGCATCAGGATACCAAAGAGGACCTGAGCAAATGTGTGAACTACAGATGAACTACAGATGAACAGATGAACTACAGGTGACTTACGTCACCTTTGGCGGAGGCGAGATATCCGTCTATCAATAAAAGGACGAGTATACTGCGCGGCAGTCCGTTCTGTCTTACTCTACGGCAGCGAAACATGGCCTTTAAGAGCAGAAGACACCCGTAAGCTACTAGTATTTGACCACAGATGCCTTAGAAATATTGCTGGCATCTGCTGGGATCACCGGGTAAGTAATAGTGAGGTTAGACGCAGGGTATTAGGGAATGATGGTAAATCAGTTGATGAGGTTATGAATCTTCATCGACTGAGATGGTTGGGCCACGTATTACGTATGCCTGAACACCGATTACCACGACGTGCAATGCTAACCGGTGTAGGGGATGGTTGGAAAAAAGTTAGGGGCGGCCAAACCAAAACGTGGCATCAGTGCTTGAAGTCACTAACTTCTAGTCTTAGCCATGTTGGTAGATGCAGACTACTTGGTTGGGGTCCGCGTGACTTTCGTAACCAATGGTTGGAGACTCTTGGTGACATGGCCCAGAATCGATCACAATGGCGTCGGTGTATACACTCCCTGTCTTCCCTTAAACTAAGAGATTAAAATCACTTCATACCTTTCTTTCTACGAACTAATTCTTCCTTCCTATACTATATCCTTATTGCAACCTTTGACCTAACCACTCCTATGAATCCGGTGTTCATCTTGTTGTGCTAATGAGGTATGGCAACCTGGACCGATGCACATATGTGCCTGGTCCTACGTTGTAGCTGACTGACTGACTGACTGTGAACTACAGAGGTATCACACTACTGTCAGTACCAGGAAAATTTTTCAACAGAATATTGCTGATCCGGATGAAAAACTCAGTGGGCGCCTGTCTTCGAAATCAGGCTAGATTCCGTGAGGATCAATTGTGTACAGATTGAATCGTTGAACAATCAGTTGAGTGGAACTCGTCACTATACATAAACTTCATTGATTATGTAAAAGCGTTTGGCAGTGTAGATAGGAGAACACTATGGAAACTTCTTCGACACTATGGAGTTCCTGAGAAGATTGTCATCACTATCCGGAACTCATACGACGGACTACAGTGCAAAGTCGTGCATGGAGGACAGCTGACAGATGCATTGCAAGTAAAATTCGGGGTCAGACAATGCTGCTTACTCTCCCTCTTTCTCTTTTTACTGTTGGTCGACTGGTTTATGAAGACCCTTCACATCTAACGATAAGCACGGAATACAATAGACATTTAATTAGAAGATTTGGACTTCACAGATGACCTAGCTCTTCTATTCCATGCAGATGAAGACAGTTAGTGTAGCAGAAGCCTTTGGAGCAATGGGTCTCAACATACACAAAGGAAAGAGTAAGATCTTCAGATACAACACGAAGAACACCTACCCAATCACACTTGATGGAGAAGCTCTGGAAGATGTGGAATCTCCCATGTACCTGGTCGGCATCGTCGATGAACGTGGAAGATCTATTGCAGACGTAAATGTGAAGATTGGCAACCTAAGGACAGCATTCCTACATATGAAGAACATATGGGACTCAAAACAACTGTCAACCAATATAAAAGTCACAATCTTTTATATGAATTTCAATACATTCCTACTGTACAGAGCTGAAATATGGATAATAACTACAAAACGATCATCGAAACGTACTAGTATTTATAAACAGTTGTCTACACAAGATAATCAATGTCCGTTGGCCGGATATCACCTGCAACAGCCTACTGTAGGAGAGAAAAAAACCAGTTTTCAGCTGACAAAGAAACTAGAAAAAGACGTTGGAAATGGATAGGATATACATTACGGAAATCACGAAACTGCACTATGAGACAAGCCCTAACTTAGAATCCTGAAGGGAAGAGGAAAAGAGGACCAAAGAACACACTGCTCCAAGAATTGGAAGCGGACATGAAAAAAAATAATGGCGACTCGAAAGGACAGCCCATGACGGGTTGGATGGAGAATGCTTGTGGTTAGCCTATGCTCTTCCATGAGGGGTAACAAACGTAAGTAATTTTACCGCCAATCTACATACGTTTTGTGAAGCAATATTGTATTCTAATGGCTTATTTTTCTCTTCTGTAATTAATATATCTCTCTCCACATTAGTGAGCTAATAATAGTATTCTAAGCGTTGTACTGCTCATTGTCTTTATATTTTTTCTGATAGGTCTTTTTACCGCCCTTGGATAAGAGGACCTAAAAATAACAATCTCGATATTTAGTTATGATCATTCGGTAACTTGTATCTTGACTTTGTCGGTCCTAGTTTTGATTGTTTATCAGTCCCTTTTGAATTTTCTGAAATATTTTGGGCCTTTTTTGTTCGAAGAAATTTCTTATTAGGAAACATCATCAATTTAGGTTGGAAATTTTTTTTATTCTCGTTTCTATTTCTCTTCATAGTACTGCGTCTCGTGTAATATTTTGTAACATCTTCTTATCAGATTCATTTAATTAAATACCAATTTGCTGCTTTATTTGTATTTTGAACTCCAACAAATATCTCTGCTTAATCTGAATACCACCATACATATTTTGCAGTTGTAGTTAACAAAAACATAAATGTATGTAAACTGATATAAATGCTTAATTCTTACTCGTTATTTGGAAGCGTTTGCTTACACATTAGCATTGACTTTAATCCACTTTATCTCAAGTCTCTGACGGATTAACCTAGGAACTATGAATTATAAGTTTACAGTTCTTTGTACACTGAATAAACTATAAGCCATAGACTTGATGATTCAATACCAGTTCCTAGCCTAACCAGTATCAGGTTTTTACATAGTAGCCTTTATTAAAAACCTTCTGTTGTTTTGGTCAAATTAGACGCTCGCAACATACTCTCCGATAAACTTACTTGGTATAATTTTATCAGCCAGTTTGTTTTGACTGACTGAGTTTGTTCGTTCACCGACAGCATCATAACATCTCGATGATAAGATCAATATGAAGAGATACTATGTTATGTATCTCTAATGTCCTTATTTTATGTCAGAACTGTATGTTAAGTTCTGTTGTCTACTCGTTCCGTAATTTACGTATAACTATATCTTTCTTGTCATTTTGTCAGTATCATTCAAATATATTTAACCTAGATTTTCGTGTCCGTCCCGAAATATAATTGGTAACCAGTTCATATTGATTGATATAAACACTCGGATAACTAAAAAAAAAGTATTGATTACCATTCCCTTCATAGACTTTAGTCATATTTTGGTAGAAAAAAGAAACATTTGCCAGACATATTTGTCTTTTCTTTTTGAATCTATTTCACCAAGTGATAATCTTGAGAATTATTTGATTTCATGTTAGTTCAAACAGAGGAAATCATTATTCGAATTTTCCTACATGTTTGTTTCAAAAATTATTTTCATTTAATCGTTTTTCTTATCTTTTTCTCACAATAAAAACAGACTGAAAAAGATGTCCTTCTAAAAGAACTCAACATTAATTCAACTGACAATGATATAACTCCCCCAAACCTCATACAAACAAATGCAACTCATGATAATGTCACCTCTGAGATAATAAACAATGAAAATTTGATTCCCCAATATTCAGTCTGTGCAAAAAAGATTCTGGAAGTAATTAAAAGTTCGAAACATCCTTCAGGGTGTAGTATGTGTGAATTATCAGCATATTTTCGAAATCATGAACAAGTAAGTTTTCTATTTGTTGTAAATATGTATATGTCACGACGTGGAACCTGTACTTATACACATCAGTTCAAGTTACCATACCTCACTAGTACAGAAGTTTTCAGGCCGAATGGCAGAATAGTAGAGGTAGTGATAGTATCAGTGACAACAAGAAAGATTAGGCATCGAACGTACGACTCGAAAAGAAATTATAAATTAGCGAAATAAAAACAAAAACGTTATGAGGAATTTAGTGTATCAATATTTAGGGAAAGACAAGGAATGGATGCACCTTCGCCATTGCAGACTGTTTTGAGCCATATCATTCTGAGTCTAGCTATTAGTTACGATAATCATACGGACCCCAACCATGTAGTCTGAACCCATTAACATGGCTAAGTTCAATTGTCAGTGAATTCATCAATTGATGCCATGTTTTGGTTTGGTCGCCCCTAGCTTTTTTCTAGCCTGTTTCTGCACCAGAAAACATACCCCGTCGAGGTAGGGAGTGGCTAGGCATGTGCAACACATGTCCCGACCACTTTAATTGATGATATACTACCTCATCAATCGATTTGCCGTCCTTACTTAGTGCCCTATTCCTAACCCAGGTATTGCTTACTCTGTGGTCCTAAATTACACGAGCGATGCTCCAAAAACACATATGGTTGAATACCAGTAACCTACAAATATCCTCTATTCTCAATTTTCATGTTTCACATCCATAAAATAGAAGGGAGAGAACTACTGAGCAATAAAGTCTCCGTTTGGTTGGCAGACGGATATCTTGCCTACCCCAAAAGTGACGCAAGTTGGCGAAAGTCAGCCAAGTAAATCGGTGCCTTTACTTAGCCATGCTGGGAGGTGTTCACGTACACGAAAATGTAAACTTCCGGAAGTCCGACCAATATAACTTGCTCCACAAAAGCATTCAAATTGCTAAATACAGAATGAGATGGCCACTTTAGGTAATTAATATTTTGGTGTCGGTGTCACTATTGGGTGCGTAGAAAACACTAGTAGTTTTCCGGCGTTGAATGGTATTTGTGTTGTTCTACGTAATCTCTGAATCTGTATTATTATCTCATTGAATTTATTTAACTTTATAGTTTAGTCTTCCACGAAACATTTGATCGAATTTGTAATTGTATTATTGTTTCTCTCATCCTGTCTGACCCATATTTATTCTGATCATTACGAATATAACAGTTTCATTCAGCGTATAGACGTATTCAAGTTAACACTTCATATTAGTCATCTCAACAACAATAATATGTGTTATTTAACAAACAATCCTAAATCCACATGCTACGACTTCAAACGATGCACTTCACCTTAAACCTGGGCACTTTTTGGATTGTTCATTTGGACACATTATTGTAGAACCTGAAGAGAATATGTTGAAAAGAATATTCTCCGTCTATATTAAGCTGATTTATCGATGGTAGCCAATTCTATTTAGCTCGTTTGTTCACTATGCACACTATGTACCAATGGTTTATAGTATATCGGTCCAATTGATGTGTAAAATGACTGAAATGAGTTTTGTAACCAAACTGATAATTTGTTTACAAAATTCATCACTTTATCTCGTGATTTTCTTTACAAGGCAAGATCATTGACCAGCTATCAGGCTGACCATATATATATGAAATTAAAACTATTATTTATCAGCAAATACCATCTACAAACATTAGAAATAATGTTCATGAAAAAATCAATTATCCTTCAACATTGTCCGTCTTATCAAGGATTATAATTCATCCTACATTTATCCGCATACTCGAAATTCATCAATTCATCACTTAGGTTGTGTACTGTTGTACACACTACAGACAATCTTTTAAAAGTCTTTTACTCCTAACTATTGTAAAATCCAAACATATCGATTTTCAAATGTTAACCGTCAACTTGGTGACGTGTACATGTTGTGCAGTGTATTTTTCATTTTCATCATTTACACTGATTAGTTTTTAACTAAGTACTGACTCAGTTACTATATTAGACTTTTCTCGTTTTTGGAATGATGGAGAAGATTTGTAGCTCAGATGGATGGTTTTGGTGGAGTTTTGTTCACTGGGTTGAATTGCTTGGTCATAGGGCTTTCGTCGTTCTCCTGAACGACATCATCAGCACAAACTTCAAGTAGAAGTGAAGTGTTCGAATTTCTTCACATATGACTTCCAGCTTGTCCTGTGGACCTTGATCTTAATTGGTTATTGTTTACCTTCAACCTATCATTGTTTACTTCTTTATTTTGACTGTAAGCTCCCATTGATCTGATTCTTAATCCTTTATTTCCTCGTTTTCCTTCAGTTCTTCCGCTTTTTCTCTATTCTTATAGATTGATCCACAATTAATTCAATATGAAATTGATAAGTTGGTTAATACGAAGATTGTACAGTATGTTAATGACTCACCACCAAGGTAAGATATTTTCAGTTTAGTTTTGAATTATTTCTTTTTTATAAGTCCAAGAATTTATAGTTGTTTGGTAGATATACAAGTCTATAAAAAGATGAGAAAGATTGCATCTTAAAGTGATTCGAGATTTCAAATATTAAATGAGGTTGCGTAATAATCGGGGGTTCGAAAACAATAATAGATTGAAAATAATAACCCTCTGATTATTACGCAACCTCATTTGATATTTGAAATCAGCAATTGTTGATTTGTTATTCCACTGTATAACAGACCTGTTTTAGAACTATAAATTCTGAGTTCGTACTAAAAATCTTTGTTTTACTCATACTGTTTACCATTAAGTGATAATCAATAAGAGATATAGTCGTCGGTGTAGATCGAATTCTGTTAGTATATCAATTCGGTGTTGGTTAGTGGTTAACTCATTTGGATTTCAGTCACTGGTAATAGGTCAAACATGGATTCTATCTTGCTTAATTCCATATGGGCGGCTAGATAACATCACGAGGTTTCATAGAAACAATATAGTTTCATACACGAGCATCTAAACACGTACTTGATAAATGAATTCTCCTTTTTAATTTGTAAACTGAGTTGTCTGCACGTCAAGTCGAGTGATCGTCTCGTCAAAATTTTCTGGACATAAAATACTCATACTGTCAGTGACATTTTCAAGTTGTCTAAACTTAACTCACGGTTTCAAATGTGTTTCACTGATAAATATCAATGATCACAATAAGTTTATGCAAGCTTCCCTGTCAATTTTTTGTTTCGTATGCATTTGATCTCATTTGCCCTATATTCAGGTTGAAAGTAACAGATGTTGGATCAAACTTATCTACTTCAATGTGCTCTAAATCAGAAATATCACAAAAAGAAACCGATTGTAAGTTTTACAATTTCATTGTTACCGTTTAGTACCTTACAATTTAGTAATGATTGTTTTCCAGTAGTCTTGCCTGTAATATATATATATATATATATATATATATATATATATATATATATATATAATTGGATGTTTTAAATAATTTTTCAGCAATTTTTGAATAGGCAGTAAGTTGGTCACTTGTGATTTATAAAAGTTCTTCACTATGAAACGGTATCAGTAAAAGTATGATGGTAGTTATTTTAAGAAACCTATTTGCAGCCAAACCAAGACATGATATTAGACCATGAAAACACTGCCTATTGGACTGAGCCAATATAGGTAAATGCAGACTACCTAGATGGGGTACGCATGATTATCGTTATCAATAGTCAGCAACGGCGCAAGTGCAGTCAGTCAGCTACAACATCGGACCAGGCACATACATGCATCGGTCAAAACTGCCATACCTCATTAGCACAACAAGATGAACGCCGAATTCATAGAAGTAGTTACTTCATAGGTGGTAATATATTAAAGAAAGATTGCATATAAATATATGGTACAGGAAGGAAGAATTAGTTGGTAAAAAGAAAGATATAAAGCAATTTCACTCTCATAGTTCAAGGGAAGACAGATAGTGTATACACCTATGCCATTGTTATCGATTCTGAGCCAAGTCACGGCGCAAGTGCATTCACTCTTTGTCTTTCCTTAGATCTCAAATTTATAAACTGATGTAGCATCATACCGTGTAAATATCTTGAGTTCTATTAGAGGTATTTTGGTCCTGCGTTGTAGCCGACTGATTATGTAAATAACACATCTTGTTTTTTCTAAATGTAGATACAACTGAAACAACTTTAGATTTGAAGTGCTCAACGGACTCCTCGATGTCTACTGATCTATCTGAAATGAGGTATTCATTTTCCTATGTTTTATCGTACTATTTTTTGATTTCAGTTCAGATTAGTTCAAAAGTTACTTCATATTTCACACTTGATTTTGTATATTTATCCTCTGGATCAATAATTCGGCTATTGCTATCCACAACAATTTCAATAGGGTTGTTTAATAGGTGCGTTGTAACCAGCTCTTTCGGCCATTTTTTCGTCCAATTAATGAGTGGTTATTACAGATGACAGTAATTTTCACTAAATAAATCATTTCGAATAGCTAGTTATCTGCAACTATCTATTGTGTCCATTGTACGTCAGTTCGACATGCCTGATAAGAAACACGAATGTATTGAATGTTATGGCTTGAAATGAAATCTTCAATAAAAATTACACTAATATACTTCACTCAATCACTAACTGAACGAAAAATTGCCGAAAATAGTTTATACAACACACTTAGTAAACATTGAAAACGTTTTATATAATTTCAGCCATTGAAATATCCTAAAAAATAGAAACCGAAATGTCATACACATTATAAACAGAGGTGGGTGGTAGTTAGCAGTGGAATCCAAGAGGCACGTCTCGTCCTGCTTGGGACTCATCAGCCAGATGTACCTGTATCTCAGAGTTGATGTTCACTCCGGCACACGAACCCAAACTGGTCAATTTCAGTCCTAAACATCAATGAAAGATTTTACAAACCAATACAAATAAGGGATATTCTACGTTTTACAGTCTTACGTAAACTCATTTCTTTTGAAAAGAAACAACTTTTACAAGTTAACACACGTTTAAATAATAAAAGGAAAGATATTAAATAAAAACTTAAACAAGTTTAAACGTCCTACTGTCTGTCGAAAATGATGTATTGTTTGTTGTTTCTGATGTGTATGACCCTGTCATTTAGTAATTCAATTGATTTTTTTTGGATAAATCATTTCCGATTTTGCCAGATTTTCTGTTTTATTGAGTATAGTAAAAGTTAATACCATATAAAATGGTTTCTTTGTAGTTATAGTAGCTTCTCTAAATTATATAATGCTGTTATGGGCTAGACATTAAACAAAGTTGAACTGTATAGTCGATAAATACTAGAATTATTATATCTTAGTATTTCCCTAATTGTTAGCTTTCTTTTGAATGCATAAACTGTCGTTGTGTTTTCCCTTCCTCAAGTTATTGTTAATCAGTTACAGACCCATCTATCACTTATTTCTCTTCCAATTATGCTTTATTGTAATTGCTTAATGATGTTGATGTCTTGTTAACATTTTATCCCATATTATTGAAGTTGAGTAATAGATTTGAACTGTATAATTAGAGGTTATCTATTTGCTACTGTGCTGTGTTCTATTCCGAATCAATAGTCCCTGAGCATTACTGTCGGTTGCTATTTCACTATTATAGTGTTATTGGTATCAGCAGAAGGTCACTGGTATTTTATAATTTAGGCAAACTAATCAATACTCAGACATTGCTATACAACTCCTCTTCTGTAATTACAGTTCGATCACATAAGCCCCAATATCGGGTAACTCAAACATCATTTTCGGCTAATGTCATCTAGATATCCCCAACACCGATATAGTTGGGTTTTTAATTTGACATACATAACTATTGCCAGTTTAAGTGTTGTAAATTTGTATGTTCTACATTTATTATTAAGTGATATTTTTGGATGGTTTAAACATCCTTTGTCAGAGTTCAGAACTTCATGAGAACATTCCAGTGTAAATTTGCACTTAAATCAATACAGACATAGTTTTGTGTTTTGTTACTTATTACTTTTTTGTCCTGTTTGTTCTTTCTCACCATTTAAACTTGCATCAACTTGAAAAAAACAAAACAAAGTATTCCGTTCAATTTTGAAGAGACGATCTACATAAAACAGTTGAATGTCAACAAATTAATCTTTCCATTTTTATTTGTGAACAGTGTCTACTGTTTATGTAAAAATAAACATTATCTTTATACAGAATCTTGACTCAATAAAAGTGAAATATCCCATTTGAAAAAATATTGTCAATTTGATGGGGTTTTTTTCAATAACACGTTTATTGAATCTACGATCTAAAATCATACTATCTAGAATTCGCTTTCTTTATTAGTTGTTTGAATTTTTTATTGATGTTTAGGGCTACAATTGATCAGTTCGTTATTTGCATATGTGCATCCTGTGCGGATTGCTTCAATATTGCCCTAAGTCCATGTTAAGACTTCAAGTGGTGTATCAACTTTTAGTCTACTTTAGAGCATAAAATAAATGACAGATTAAAATTTCTAGATATTGCTATGTAACAAGAGACTCATTGTATCATTAAAGAAGAAAGAAGGCTATTCAGTGAAGAAAATTTTCTTTTCGACAATTTCATTTATTTAAGCTGTACAATCGTATTTATAGTTCATTTTGTTTAATAAATTGTATTCTATAGTAAGTCAGAATGGTGCCAAATATTTAAAGGACTTGGAGTGGTATCTCGTTATAAATTGAAAATCAGATATTGAGTGGGAGTTATACCATAATCGGCTGGTGAAAAAGTGGTAAGGTTACGATAGTTGTTCACTTGATAGCTATTAACAACAGAATAATTGAAAGTTGTAGCAATTGCTAAGTAATGGTTGTGAAACCAGTAGAAATAATTAAACAAAACTAAAAGACAATAAATTACGGTAAATAGAAAGAGAGGTAAAGACCATGGATGGATTAGAGATTGAACATACTGATTTTGTATGCAAAGGTTAAGCTTAAACTGGTGGATAGCAACAGCCTCTGCTGTACATTAGTTTTTCATTCGCATTCCTATTGAGCTGACTCTTCTTACTGTATTTATGATTTTGAAAGAGACTTCTGGAGTGGCCAGAATTGACTAGATGCTCGAAGATTGAGCTTTAGACTGAATTCTGTAATCCTTTGAAGAACCAAGTAAAGTAAAATTTGGAGATGGGTTTCGAAACAGCTCGCCTCGTGCAATCAATATAACCTGCAAATAAAATTAACTATGAATACAATTGAAATGAATATCTTCTTCGCTGAATTGCCTTCTTTCTTATTGCTGTATAAATTGTAGTGCAGTCACACTTTACGGATCTATGTTACCAAAATGGGGGTTTGTTGAGATCGACTCATGAATTCAACTATTAGATATATATTAATCGGACAGAAAGTGAATGCCAATATCTTTTGTGTGGAAAACCATAGAAAGACGCTTGTCAAAGCATTGTTTCATGAAATGAAGTAAATACATTTAAATGATAAATTAAAATAAAATTTTATGGCGTGTAATTCCAACGATTATCAATATATATTTATTAAAAATATATAATGAAGATAACAAATTGGGAAGAAATATTGTTGTTAAGTTTCAACTTCAAGGCATATAGCCGATCGAAGGTTAGATTTCACACTGACGTGAATCCTCCCAGTACATAAACTTCCATCCCTCTTTCTACCTAACTAAATATGCATTAGTCCAGTAGAAATACATGCGTACTGATTTCATGGTACATACAAAATTCGAAGCAATTTATGGACATCCATCAAAGTAGCGACATTCAGAGATTGTCTGCATTTTGAATAGTTGTTTTGATAAAATAAACATTTTCAAGTGTGTAAACAATTTGCAACTAATTAGGGTATCACTCAAGTTTACCTTAAACTTTTTTAAAGTATTTAATAAAATACTTCAAATCTTCTATGCTTCTCTGAGGTCAAACTTGTACAAACAAAAAAAAGCTATTATCAACCATACTGTTTTGAATAAGAGATTTAGGTTGCCTAAATTAAGTTTGTCCACAGCAAGTATTGAATTACGAACTCCTTGTTTTAAAGTTGAATACTTTAAGCGTTATTACACTGCTCCGAATGTATATACCATTATTTCTCTGTCAAAAATAATATGAATTTTAAAGATCAACTGTCCATCCGGAAGAAATTAGTTACACCGCTTACTATGATCCTAGTGGGAAACAAGCAAATTTCATTGCCCAACGTTTAAATCTCCAAGGTTATATCGAGCTTGTTTGGCTTTATTAGAATTACTGTACACTCTGCTACAACGTTTTCTAAATTCGTATTTACACTTACACTTGAATAATTTCAATTGTAAAATCTAATATACCAAGAATCCAATGACATAAACATAAATCTGTATTTCTTTGCATGACTTTTCTTTATTTTCCTTTCATTTGTTATTGTAATTGGTTATGCTAACCTTGGGTTTGTTTGCACAACTTTATATGTCTGTGAAATCACTAAAATCATCTTCTCTAGTCATTCGTAACCCGAACAGTTCAACAATATCTTATATTGTAAAACAATTGAGTGATAAAGATTCAAACACCGCAAGGAGAATAAATCCCCTCAATATTGCCAATACATCTTGCTGATAAGTACCATCTAACTCAAAGTTTAGGTTTCCTGTCAACTAATTACAACCACCTAACTAAAAAACCTAGGTATTTTCAAGTTCATACAAAATGCATTCGTGACTATTGATCATATGTTTGTTTGTTTTGCCTAATTTTTTGTAGCTCTTATGGATTATATTTCACATATGTAGATGAACATAATAATCCTGTTCATTTAAAACGAAATGCACATCAACGTGAATATAATTTGGATGGTGAAGTAAACTTACCTGGTTATCGTATTCGTTGTATTTATGAAGATTTAATTATTTCCGGTGTATCTTATCGTATAGATTGGAGTAGTTCAGGGTAAATGTTTTTCTATTATTTATAATTATAATGTTTCACTACTGTTTTTTTGTCAATAAGTAACGCAGCTCAAAATTGATCATAGTAGCGTTGATCCACTTACTCTTTTTCTCATTTTTTTAATTCTAGGGTTTAGTATCATTTCATACCATCCATTTAAATCATGTTGATTGGTCCTTTCATACTATATTCCTTTATTATTATTATCAGTGCCTTGTTATTTCCCAGTTGTTTTTATCCAAGATTAGTATTTGTTCTCTAGATATATTAATCCATTTCACTCTTTTCTGTCAATCTATACACCGTTAATATTAAACAGTGTTAAAAAATGATACTAAATAAGCGTTTAATTATCTAAATTATAATTACAATCAGATTGACTGTTTTGTACTCACTCGTATAGGTAATTGCGAAATGTATAGACATGGTTTTATGAATACTTGTGTATATTTGTCCATGTTACATTAAAGCCGGATACTGTATTTTTACTTCAGGACATGTTTTATGTATATGTATGATGAGTTAGATATATAACCTGACTTTCAATTTCGTGCATGTACGCTTATTCATTCGTTATCATTTTTTATGTCTGATCCATTGACTGGAGGACAAGTTTAGTTTGAACAAATCCTATCAAATCATACTTTGCATCGTGACTTGATTATTATTACACTGGGGGTAAACATAATCACAAAGGCGTTAAAGTTAACAATACGAAGTTAATCCGATAAGTTGGTAATACAAACTTCACAGCTAAATTATCAAATCTCTCCCTCTGTTGACATATTGGCTCCTTAAGTCGACACGTGTTACGTATGCCCAACCATCGACTGCCCCGACGTGCGACTTTTTATGGTGTAGGTGTAGGTTGGAAGAAAGTTAGGGGCGGCCAGACCGAAACATGGCACAAATCCATGAAGTCACTGACAGGTGCAGAGTACCTGCTTGGGATCCGCGAGGTGATAACAACCGATGGTTAGAGACCTTGAATGACATGGCTCAAAATCATTTGCAATGGCGCATGTGCATCCACTCTTGGTGTCCTTCCAAATTCCAATCCCTTGAATACTCTTTGAATAACATCTTCAAACCATAATCTTTCGGAGTACTGCTTATACTTTTGCTACCTCTACCACTATGGGATTTGAATCGACAATTGTATGTGAGTGCTAATGTGGTATGGCAACTCGATACAGGTACATACGAAGTTCTACGTTGTTACTGTCTGACTGGCTTTTACATATACAAATAATGACTCATAGTTGTACTGAGTTACAAATGGTCACTTTATTTATTTCTGTAGGCCGATTGTTTTGCTAAAATCTGGTCTTCATCAAAAATCTCAGCATTACAAATTCGAACACTGTCAATATCTTAGATAAATATAAATATAAATAAAACTTAACTATTTTATTTCCTTAGTAACTATCTATTAACCTAGTACATCATTTTGTAAACCTGTTTATATATTTTAAAAAAATTTGAATTGTATATAGTGAATTACGATTATTATTATTATTACAGTGACAAATAATAACATTTATTATTCAATATTGTATTATTTTCTATTTCCATCCCTCTCTCTCACTTTCTGGAGCAGGTTAACAGAAAACGGCATAACATATACGTATGCTTACTTACTTGATCCTAATGCGCCTAACCTGTGTACAAATCCTATATCAAGTATAAAATCTATCGATACAACCAATAGTAGTGCGATGCTAACTACGTCTTCAACTACTTTCACGTTTAAACCAATATCAAAAGTTAATAACTCAACTAGTCTGGAGACTGGAATTAAACGATGCAAATCTCAAGGTAATCAACCTTCTGTATTTCGGATTCATCGCTTTGAGAAAATTACAGATTTCAGTCATAATTCATTTTTAAATGATACATTTATGTATGCAGTAATTTAAGCAACTTCCAAATGAAATTAGTCTGGCAAATCAAAGCTACAAATTAAACCAATCTCCACAAAATTTCTCCATCTGTGATGTAATAGCCAACTCACTAGAAACTTACTTCAAAGTTCCCCTAAATTCCTAGTAAACATTTGTGACCGATATAGTTCAACCATGTCACTAATAAAACAGTTGTCGCCTATGCCATTGGATGATTTCTGCGCTATATCACAACTTATATCATCGGTCTCTGACTCGGTGATCCTAATGACTAAGTGTTTATGCGACACAGCGTTTTGGATTCAGTGCGTAATGGTACCATAAATGTAGACTACTGAGTAGTCCAATATTAGAATCAAACAGTCGTTCAGTTCTTCTTAGCTTTCATTTGTACATCAATCTGTGACCAATTTAATCCATAAATTCAACATTAATTTGTTTTCTTGGTTTTCATGGCGTGTTGTAAGGAACGAAGACTCAGGTGGGAATGGCTAATTTATCTTGTTTAATGCACAATGACACAGTGGTTTACCAAAATATGAAAATCCTGCATTAAATACATCATTTACACATCTTATTTCAATTGTTTTTTACATCTTTCATAATTCTTCCAATTCTGTTTTTATTCCAATTCCTTTCTACTCTCTTCTGTTCAGTCTTCTCAAATTTTTTTTGACAAACATTCCACTTTGACTAATGTTACATACTACTTACATCTGTCAACATATGTAGCATACACCACAATGTCAATAACATTCGAATTTGAAAAGCGTCCAAATATTATCAAACTTCAAAATGAACTCTTCAATGTATTAGTGCGAAACTTTGACATGTGAGGTCAGTCATGCAAAGAGTATAGAACTTGGTCGTGATTTATTCCAAAATAACTAAGTTTTAAAATTATAAACCATCAGATAAGAGCTCTATCGCTGAGTGATGTGTTCACTCTGAGATCTGAACCTTCTGATTCTAGTTTTGTTTTCTATCACTCATGAGAGTGCACATCGCTGAACCGAGCCACAAACTGAGATAATGAAGCACTTATCTAATGATCCCTTATTCATTAGCGCTTACGTTTTCATGACTGAAACAATTATTAAGTCATTGAATATAAGCCTCCTTTACTTCCAACTACAATCATAATGTCATAAATTCTGTGAACATATGTACCCATTGAAAGTCTTTTTTATTCACCTCTTTCCACAATTCTGGACATCTAACTACGGTACCCAGTTGACAAATATGGCTAACTGCTCAAAATAAACTACTGAGAGTCTGTTTGCCGTCGAACCATTTACCTTTGCTTTAATAGGTTATACTTTCTTCCCTCTATTAAACCGAGCAAGACCCTTTAAGATATCAGTAGTATCACTGGTCATTCAACAGATGTTGACTTTTTCTGAAAACTATTCTTTGTAGAATCTGTTTCACATAATGGTCTCACAAGTAAATCAAGTCGAAACTGTACAAATTCGGTAGCACCAGAGGTCACAATGCAACCAAAATCTCCTACTCACTCACATCCAATTTTGACCCGTCAACTAAGTCTACCAGGAACATCTGAAATGATTTCATTAAATCGTGCTATGACCAAGTATAGCTCACAAACATCTGGTGAACCTCCGAATCCACATATTATTAGTACTAGAAACTGTTTGAATCCTATTGGTGACGAACTTCAAAAACACCAAATTTCGTCGTCGTCATCATCATTAACACCTTTTATCGTTCCAGCTAATTCTTATGAAATTATTCTTTTGGCTGATGTTCGTGAAAATTTCGGGTGAGTCCTTTTATCTTTTGAACAGTTTTCGTATGGTTTTGATAGTTACTCTTCAAAAATGGCTTTATCAATTGAAACAAATCAGCCGAAGTACTTATGTAACACATATATTAGTTGGATATTTAATTGTCTATTTCAATAATTATATCTGTGTTGATTGAACATAATGACACTTTAATAATAATTGTTCGTTGTTAGGCAGTTGAAGGCTATCACCTACTCAACTTTCGCCACAATGAGGAAAAACATGTTGACATACAGTTAATAAGATGTAAAGCAAGGAATTTCGAACTTGAGATGTATTATTCGGAAAGAATGGATGTCTTCATGAAGACAAGAAAACCTAGTAGGAAAAATAATCACAAACAGGGTCATAATAACGAACCGATATAATGTTTGTAGGAATGACTAAGGAGCTCTCTTCTACAAAAAGTAAGCACCAATGATGTTATCCAGAATGAATGAAAGCTACACAACTATAAACTAGCTAGCTTGATGAACCCAGCAACAATGAAAGCATCCACGTGAACTGAAAATCGTCTCCTATACTAAAAGAGTTAAAACTCAACATCTAGAAGAAGTTAAAGATTGCGCACCAGCTTGACCAATCTTCAAGTTTTTATCTCCAACCACAGAGTATGGTTATCACACACACTTCAGCCAAAAATTCTACAATCACTGACGGAGCTCAGTCTATCAGCTAGTGATTTCATAAACTGTTATCATGTTTTGGTTTGTTCTATCCTATCCTATTCGCCTACCTATACACTGTTAAATACATAATTTAGTGATAAAATCCTAATCAAAATTAAATAAGGTCAATCTTGCCCTAAAAATTACCTTTGACTACTTCATATCAAAATTGTCTATACTGAATTCATAAGACTGTAAATTTCATGACTTTACATAAATGCTAGGCTGAGTACTTGTTGGTTTTAGCTTTTCAATCTCGCCATTTTAGTGAATTACACTCATACATTAGGTTATCAGTTAATCAATGGTATGTTTTTTGATAAAGAGGTGTTCGACATCTGACTACTAAACAGTGCAAACAAAACATATCAACTAGTCATAAGCAACTTAAAATTGAGCATACATTTGTATTGCCCCAACTTGCCACACTGCATCATCAAAGTTAAACGAAGTTATTAATATGAATACCATCGTAGTAAAGTAACAGTATCAGTGAGATTAATAATAATAATAATAATAATAATAATAATAATAATAATAATAATAATAATAAAAAATCCTAATCTCATGCAATTGATTCCCTTTATGAATTTAAATAGAGCAAGAACAAACATTGATGCAGAATAGTATGAATTCATATTATTTCGAGGTTTCTCGTCAGCTGCTTACAAACCGAAATTGTGATAGAATTTTTTTACATGGAGATAGTGTGAAACAATTGACATAAATGAGTGTAAATAACTTGATTACAATAATAACTATATATATATATGCTGGAAACAGGTCAGAGGTCAAAAGAGGGGGGTTAATCCAGGGTGGGTAGTGTAATAATTTAGTGAAGTTCATAAATTGTGTGATAATTGTAGAGATTAATGGAATTAAATAATGATAAGGTAGATTACGTAATAATAATTAAATAGGGTTTGGAAAGTTAAGATGATTTAGGAGGATCAGGTGGTGGAAATGTGTGAATAAAATTAATTTTAAGAATTAGGTAATAGGGGGGGAGTATAAAATATCTTAGAATAAGTAAATGAATAAAATAACCAAAACACAAAACAAACAGAAAAAAAAAGATTACCAGGGTAGTGATAAGTTTATTAAAGTCTCTTTTTGGATGCATAAGTCCGGTTTCAGTTTCTTGATTGCAATGGCTTCAGCAAAGCGGAGAGTGGTAGTCAGTCAGTCAGTAACAACGTAGAACTTCGTACGTACGTACATCAGTTCGAGTTGCCACACCACATTAACACAGAGATGCAGTTGTCGATTCAAATCCCGTAGTGGTAGAGGTAATAAGAGTATAAGCAGTAATCGGGAAGATTAGTGTTTGGAGATGTTACTTAAAGAGTATAATACAGTGAAATAAATTTGGAAAGAGAAAAAAAGAGACAAGGAGGAATAAGGAGATTAAAATTTGGGAGAACACAAAGAGTGGATGCACCTGCGCCATTGCAAACGATTTTGAGCCATGTCATTCAGGGTCTCTAACCATCGGTTGCTATCATCTCGCGGATCCCAAGCAGGTAGTCTCACCTACCAACATGACTCAGTTCACTTGTCACTGACTTCATGGACTTGTGCCATGTTTTGGTTTGGTAGTAGTTCTTTGTTTATTGATAATTTTAAACGCGCGCATAATATCGACGGTATGCCCGGTGCCAAGTAGATGCCGAGCTATTGCACTGTTAAAAGCTTTAGTCCCTCGCAGCGTCAAGTTCTTCGGAATCCTAATCTGACAATCAATGTTTTCTTTCTCTCCATTCATCGAGTCAGACTACCAATTTAGTCCATGGAAATTATCAAAATAATGAAATCACGTTTTATGTAGTTGTAAAATTTTCATTAATAAATAGAGATGGATGTTGGCTAGCAATGGAATGTAGGACGCGCGTTTTATCCTATTTGGGACTCGTCATTTGAATGTACCTGCATCCCAGAGTTGGTGTTCACTCCGGCACTCGAACCCAGCACCGTTCGCTCAAACGCCATCGCGTTATCCACTTAGCTTCGGAGTCCAGATAGTCACTAACCGGATGCAGGTACATTCAGCTGACGAGACCCAATCGGGAGGAAACGCGCGTTCTCGATTCCACTGATAGCCACCATCCATCTCTGTTTATAATGCTTGTGATGTAAGGCAATATCGAGGCAAGATGCACATATGACAAAAAGAGACTGATCACTTGCCGTTCTAAACATTAATGTGAGGATTCAAACAACCAATACAAAAATGACTAATTTCATCAATGGTGTTTTTAAAAGTAATGTTATTATTAACTAACTCATTATTTTGCATTCTTATGTTTAAATTACAAAATAAAAACAATAGGTCGAACAAAGTAAGACAAATGCTTCCAACTGTATTTCAAAAGTACAGTATCAAATGTGAATCAAGAGCACTTCCTGTTGGGGATTTTCTTTGGATTGCACGATGGCGAAATGAATCAGGTAATTTTTTAGTTTTATTCAATTATATCATTATAATGGTTATTACTGTATTGAATATTTAACTAATACTGTTATTTTCTTCTACTGTCTGGTATATTCTTTGGTCACAATACCTTCAATCGACTATTCTTAAATCAGAATAAGGATTGAAATTGAATAATATACGCTCCAATAAACTCTGACAACAAAGATCCAGTATTTTAAACATTAGAATTTATATAGATTAGTTAAAAAATGAAATGTCCACCGTACGCCAATATAAATCTGATCAACGCATTTAATATTCAGCACTCTATCCCAATATCAAAATATAGTTTGTGAATGCTTTTCAAAACTAGCATGAATCGACTTAGTATTTAGTGAGTATTTAATTTAATTATTACATGGCCTCTCATTTGATCAATAACTTGATTTTTAAGGCCATTGTTTCGAGATTTTTACGAGTCATGTATTTGAACTACGTTTGATAAATCAACTTACAATAACGTTTCTTTGTTTAGTTGATGTTCCCATATACTGCACATTGACTTGAACGCTATACTTCCGGAAATTCGTTGACACCTTTAATTTCAACGTTTTCCCAATCCATTTCGTATCCGCAGTTATCTGCCTGCAGCGAAATAGACAACTCTCTCCATTCTTGTTCAACTTTGTCATTGACGTACTTTTAGAGATAACACTTTACTCATCTAAATTTCCAGGGCTTGAACTTCTACCGGTAGGTTCACTTCTTGACTTAGAATATGCTGATGACATAGTTTTATTTGGCGAAGACGCTGACAAAATGCAGAGTCTTCTGACCACTCTAAGCAACAATACAAGCATCTTCGGGATGCGATTCTCCCCCTCGAAATGCAAAATGTTGCTTCAGGATTGAGTTGCATTGACACCCGAACTAATGATAGGGAGTGAAGTAATTGAGCGTGTAGACCGCTTCACTTATCTTGGAAGTCTCATCAGCCCTTGTGGTCTGGTGTGTGACGAAATCTCAGCACGGATACAAAAGGCTCGACTAGCTTTTACCAACTTGCGTCATTTATGGTGTAGGCGAGATATCCATCTATCAACCAAAGGACGTGTTTACTGCGCAGCAGTTCGTTCCGTCCTACTTTATGGCAGTGAAACATGGCAGGTAAGAGTAGAGGATATTCGTAGGTTACTAGTATTTGATCATAGGTGTCTTCGAAATATTGCTCGTATATCGTGGGACCATCGAGTAAGTAATGCAGTTGTTAGGAAACGGGTACTAGGTAATGATGGCAAATCAATTGATGACGTAGTGAAACTTCATCAGTTGAGATGGCTGGGACACGTGTTACGTATGCCCAACGACCGACTACCTCGACGTGTATGTTCAGTGGTATAGGAGTAGGTTGGAAGAAAGCTAGGGGCGGCCAGACCAAAACATGGCACAAGTCCATGAAGTCACTGACAAGTGAACTGAGTCATGTCAGGAGGTGTAGACTACCTGGTTGGGACCGCGAGATGATAGCAACCGATGGTTAGAGACCCTGAATGACATGGCTCAAAATCGTTTGCAATGGCGCAGGTGCATACACTCTTTGTGTCTTCCCAAATTTTGATCTCCTTATTCCTCCTTGTCTCTTTTTTTCTCTTTCCAAATTTATTTCACTGTATTATACTCTTTAAGTAACATCTCCAAACACTAATCTTCCCGATTACTGCTTATACTCTTATTACCTCTACCACTACGGGATTTGAATCGACAACTGCATCTCTGTGTTAATGTGGTGTGGCAACTCGAACTGATGTACGTACGTACGAAGTTCTACGTTGTTACTGACTGACTGACTGAGCGAAATAGACAAAATAGTTACCCCCTCTATCTACGCATACACAAACATAAACTAACAGTAAAATGAGATATGTTACTACTCAGATCACTGAACGTAGACATAATCATAGATACGAAATCGATCTGAAAATTTGCAAGATTTTGGATCAAGGAAACTCTAGGAATTCTTTAAAATTTCCGAAGCATTAGGTTAAAGACAATGAAGTTGCCAAATTGTCCTAAGATAGTCCTTCACTGACGATGTCATCAGAACCGAGTGATTTGTCGCTTGTGGACCAATTGAATAGTTCACTCTCGTATGAAGCGATTCTAATGTTGTACAGAACAACAATGAAAACTGTGAAATTAAGCCATCCATATCAAAGGATACAACCAATATTTTCAACTGAGTATATCGCTTCCGCAATCATCGAAAGTTTCCATCACAGTAAAGGTTTCATACTTTACGAATTTTAATGGGTTTTAAAGAATTAACCTACTTGTCTTACTGCAAAATACAGTGAATTACGTAGGGTGAACGTTGGTGTAATTATGAATTGTACTATCTAAAATAGCCTATGATGCCAGGTTGCCTCATGTATATAAGATTACTGATTAAATTTTAAGCAAAATCTGGATTGCTATGGGATTTAACCTCCCGTACTTAATTGATGCAGATACGAGAAATGAATTACATTCATAAAATAGAAATCAGAATGGGTTTTGTGGAGAGTTTTAGAAATTTCACAAGTTGAAATCATGAGTCAGTTGAAGCTAGATGCCGGCTCAGTGGTCTAGTGGTTAAGTGCTCGCGCGCGAAGCCAGTAGGTCCTGGGTTCGAGTCCCGTGTGGTGCGGGATCGTGGATGCGCACTGCTGAGGAGTCCCATACCAGGACGAAACGGCCGTCCAGTGCTTACAGGTTTTCAATGGTGGTCTAGCTTCAACTGACTCATGATTTCAACTTGTGAAAATAGAAATCATTACTCAGATATTTCTTTGTGTTCTAGATTGTTTAATGGAAGCTGTACTGGATCAGATTGTTGAACGTAAAAGAATGGACGATTTAGCACATAGCATTGTTGATGGGCGATTCAGAGAACAAAAGGTAAACAGTGGATATATTTTTACTATAGTGAAAATTCCCATTTCGCCATTTGGTAAATAAAGAAGGAACGAATTGAGCGAAGAAATTTCTTTTCAATTAGTTTTTCATCATGACTCTACACTAATATATATACGTTTTACAATAATAATATAATACTCATCGAGTAGATACGTTACGTAATAATTACATAATGACATTTAAATTAACATTGATTAATTGGAAGAAAGAGGATTATTAATATTCAAAGTGATCAAGAAGTTGCTACGTTGCGTAATGTAAGAAACAAAGAAGGAACAGAATTTTAACGGATGGTCAATAGGATGGTAGTTACGTAGGAATCAAGAGATGAATGTTGAGAAGTTATTAAGTTCAAAAGCAACAGAAACAAAATTACAAAAGTTTAAAAAAAAACAAGTGGAAGAATTATAAAAAATAGTTCTTTTGAAGGAAATTTTAAACTGATGGCCAGGGCAGGGAAAGCGGTTGTACGAATCTCTTTTGAATGCAAAGGTCAGGTTTGTGAACATGGATTGCGATGGCTTCCGCAATGTGCAAGACGCGCACTCGTAAACCATGTGGCAAATTAGATGGGATATTGTAGATAACCTTAAAAGCTTTATTCAATTCGACTTGATGACCTGTGTCAACCAAGTGAGAGAGAATAGAACTTTTAATTACTTTTACCTGTCCTTTGTTTAACCACGACGGATGATGTTCAGTAATGCGATGACGGACTTGCCGAATTGTACGCCCAATATAACTGGCTCCACAGGGCGTCTCAGACTTTGTTATTCCTTCGTTCCCATACCAATCGCTCTCTGTTGACGTTCTCTTCGATTTTCTTAACCCTCTGTCACCAAGTATCCCACTTTCGACTGGTGATACATTCTACTTATACCTGTCGACATCAGTAGCACACACCACAGTAACAGTATTAGCCGTAGTAAAAAAATCGTTAGGGATACATATGATTCGAGAAAGAATAATTTTGAAACTCGCGATGCACTGTGTAATTGCTTGCCAGATAGTTTGTCCTATTTGAAAATGAACCTTTTTTAATCGACTAATTTTTTAAATGAATATTGTATCTTGTCTTTTTTAATTACATTCAATTTCCATGTAGTATCGTTTAAAACGTACAGGTTTATTACAGTTGATTTATTTAATCGAAGAATGTTCAATGATGCACAATCAGAAAGTCGCTTATGATGTTTTAATACAAGCAACTTCAAATGCACAAGTAAGTTAATTGTTAATATGTGATAATTGCTTGAAGGGATATAAAGTATTCGACTGAGATTGGAAGAAAGTTAGGGGCGGCCAAACCAAAACGTGACATCAGTCCTTGAAGTCACTAACTTCTGGTCTGAGCCATGTTGGTAGATGCAGACTACTTGGTTGGGGTCCGTGTGACTATCGTAACCAATGGTTGGAGACTGTGGGTGACATGGCGTAGGCGTATACCCTCTGTCTTCCCTTAAACTATGAGATTGAAATCTTTCTACGTACTAATTCTTTCTTCCTGTACTATATCCTTATATGCAATCTTTCTTTTGTATATCACCACCATTGACTTAACTACTCCTAGGAATCAAGTGTTCATCTTGCTGTGCTAATGCGGTATGGCAACTTGGACCGATGCATATATGTGCCTAGTCCTAAGTTGTAGCTGACTGACTGATATAAAGTATTATTATTTGAACACATAAATATCGGTACAAAGAGGCACCGAATACACATGCGCCACACAATTCAGTTGATTTGTGTGCGGGCTGTGATACTGGCCAGGTGGCCAGAACGAAGCAGGTGGTTTTCTTAAGGGGCAACACCCGGAACCTTCAACCTAAAGGTCTGATCCACAAGGCAGTGGAGCAACGTCAGGAGATGTAGTCCCATTGTAGTCGGTGACCAATAATTGGTCCATACGCCATTTGTTTCCTTAGGATCTTGGAGCCCATGTACATCATTGGTTTGGGATAAGGGTTTTCGAATTCCTCTAGTTGGATCCTCCATATCCACCAACCTGGTTAAATTGGCGGACATTCGTTTTTCGTCCTCTCAAATTCGTAAACAACACCCTTGCCTCGAGAAGGAGGATACTATTTTCTAATTAGGATGATCTCGTTACATGTGATAAGGTCTCCTTCCCGCTTCAGTTGCCATTCAACGTAAAAAGCTGAAAATTGCATTGGAAGGAGCATTTAAAAAAAATAATTATGTTTAAGTTATATGTATCTATGGGAATCACCGTGACCATATGTGTAGTAAACTTTGTTAATTAAGCCATCCTATTACTTATTACAACTCACCCACGATTGCATATGATCCATCGTACAACCTTAGTACACCATGTAACTTATGTGGTCATCACCTTTGAATTAATATAGGTTGCGTTTGAGTCTAAATTGGACCCAGAGATATCTAGGTGGTAAGTTATCATAGAAGCTGTTATTCAAAATTTGTAATGTTTGGTGATAGGTAAGTGCTATAGAATTTTAAAGTGATGTAATGTTCTGTTTTTTTGTTCACCAACATCCAAGTTAGCGGTATACAATGCTGCAAATATGGCACTCATTGCTATAAGTATTATGTATATATATGTAAATTCCACTTATTTAATTTACTTGTACTGATAAGTAATTGTACTATCTTTCATAGATGATCGATGGTTTACATATTATGACAACTAAAAGTCTTGAAGATACTGTAGATTTACTCGCTGCACTTTCGCGAAGACTTCAGTCACGTGTTTCAGTAAGTCATTTTATAATGTTTATTTAACTTAGAGAATATATTGACTATTGCAGTGATCATATATAGCCATGGTTAACCCCCCTAAATTACTTGTTACGGTTGTACTATACTTTATATATATAGAACAAAAGAATCAAAACTACATGTAACATTCCAGTCCAATAAAAACTGCGAACGTGTTGGGTTGTTTGTTTATGTTGATCGCTCGAGAAACTTTCAACTATCATGTTGACATACATTGAGTAATTATCTCTACCTACTTCGATCATTGAGTTTCTTGCCTAAACCACCTGGGTTTTCGATTTCGATCGTAAATGGTTAAAAACGAAAGATCCATTCACTTCTATGCTTCATATACATGTGTAAATAGAAAATGGCGTTCAGTGGTTGTATATAAACTGAACAGCACAAACATATATACCCAATTGAATTTGGGACCCAAGGCTCGAGTGTCTTGCGTTTAATAATTAGACTTACGAAGCTTAAGAATTTATTTAATGCATGGCAATATCCATCAGTTCGTTTACTGCGAGCAGTTTGCAATGACTATCATCCACGATGTTGGCGTGGGTTCAAATCCCACCTCCGACATATACTTTGCCGCCAAATGCCCTGTTACGGCCGAGAGCGGGGATAGACAGCTCTCCCTCTCGAAATACTATCACATGGCCACGTGTACACAGCCATTGCCTGTGAAGTCATACTCGCTGCCTTTTCATGGAGGTGTTCACGAATTTGAGAGGACGAAAAACGAATGTCCGCCAATTTAACCAGGTTGGTGGATATGGAGGATCCAACTAGAGGAATTCGAAAACCCTTATCCCAAACCAATGATGTACATGGGCTCCAAGATCCTAAGGAAACAAATGGCGTATGGACCAATTATTGGTCACCGACTACAATGGGACTACATCTCCTGACGTTGCTCCACTGCCTTGTGGATCAGACCTTTAGGTTGAAGGTTCCGGGTGTTGCCCCTTAAGAAAACCACCTGCTTCGTTCTGGCCACCTGGCCAGTATCACAGCCCGCACACAAATCAACTGAGTTGTGTGGCGCATGTGTATTCGGTGCCTCTTTGTACCGATATTTATGTGTTCAAATAAGTAAAATATTCTTTCTGTTATAAACTTTACAGAATGATTTGTACGTTAATCAAAAATCTAATGATATGCCTTTCAAGTTGAACACTTTAAATGCATTGAGTTGGTGTGAGTTTGTCAAACTTGCAAATAAATCACCGGATCCAAGCATACGTGATATTTTCGCTAAACATTTAATGCAGATTCCTGGATGTACTGGTCCAAAAATCACTTCAATTATGGAAAAATATCCTACTCCCTGCATGTAAGTTATTTTTTAGCTGGGAATTACTTCGCCATTCAATGATCACCGTACTTTCATGTTTTTTCGTGCAGTACTTATCTTTTTCTACTAATTCTTATAGTAAGTAAACTATTAATTTCTTGTATTTCAGTTTAATGGATGCCTATGATAAACAGCCGACAATGTCAGGCAAGAGTAATATGTTGGCACAGTTGAAACCAGCAGATAGTAATCGGTATGTGAAACGTTTTCTAATTACTAACATCATTGTTTTTTGTTGAAAGACTAGGGGTAATCACACTAAGATGTGGCATCAACCCATGATGTTATTAACTGTTGTGCTGACCCGTTTAGTTAGGTATCAATTACCTGGTCGGAATTCGTACGATTATCGTAACCAATCATCAGAAATGTTGGATCAAATTGTTGTGAATCATTAGCAATAGCGTACATGCATCTAGTGTTTGTCTTATTAATACGTATACTTTTTGTTGGGACGATCCAGAAAATCTCTCGCAAAAGACAAGCAAGGATCAGGAAACACTAAGAAGCATTTCATCCAATCAGCGTTCACTTGAAGTTTTAGCCGGAAACATCAAGGAAGTGAAACGTCACATGTAAAGGTTCTAATTGACTGATTGCTATACTGCTACTATGTTTAGTAGCATTCCAGAATCTCCGAGCAACCCAAAGACATTTAAAATATTATAAAAACCCTATATTTTTTTTATTAAAATGAACCTCTTAAATCCAGTGCTTCTCGCATGTTCGTGTTCAGGTCGCTGTGTAGTTTTAGCTTTGGGGGTTACAAAATAGCTTAGGAAAGGAGTATAGCGTTCAATTTGCAAGACTTATCACTTTTTATTCCACGAGTTCATTCCCACTCATCGAAACATATTTTCCATCCTCAATCTTTGCTACTATTGTCATTGGTTCTCTTACTATCTCTATTACTCTGGCATTCGTCTTGATAATTTCATCCAGATGTACTGATATGGTGTGACAACTAAGACCAATTCACATATGTTTCAAGTTCTACGTTATATATAACTAACAAATAATTCAGCGAATAACTTCCCTGACCATGATGAGAATTCGAGCTCCGACGGAAACATTCATACCTTAAAAATTATAGATACTAACTAACTAACTTGTTATCTAAATTCATAGTGTTCTGCCTATTACTATCAACATTAGCAAAGTTATCGAGGAGCTTGTGCGATTCAATGTACTGCTTGGATTCAGTTAATCTGATGAAAATATACATTTGTAATAAAATGCACAACAAATATTTTAATTTAAACCTTTCTTACTCGTCTAATCAGATTATACCTTTAACACATTAAGGTATTTTTTTAACTGAATCTTCAGCAAAGAGACTTCAATACATCAGTACTTAGTTCTAAGAAATTATCCTAGTTTAAGGACACAAGACCATGTGTTGTGGTTTGCAGTATCGGATTCTGATACACAAGCTTCTTATATGTGTGCCCAACCAGCAATTTGAGTGAGCCAATCGATTAATTTAGTCAATAACTTGCTTATCATTTGACTTCAAACCACACTCCATGTGTCTAAAGCTGAAATAGGTGGAGTGGTGTTTCTAACCTGGGACTAGCTAAAAAGTCGAACCTCTTGACCACTGACTCACTGTCACTTATTATTGGGTAATAGTGTTCCTGTATAGTTGTCGAATTCCTATTCCGTACAAAACAGTGTATAACACAAAATAATCCTCATGATTATTCAAGTCTTAGATTCAGAGACGTTTATATTATTCTTATTTGACCATAAAAAACAATAATAATAATAATTTTGATCCATATAATTAAAAAAATTTTAATTTACTCTTTTTTTAGGTGTATTGGAACAGCGCTTAGTCAGAGTATCGCTTTTGCGTTTAACACATTGTGATCCATATTTTGTACTGATTTCCCTGTAAATATACATTTATCTACAAGTTGCTTTCTGAATTAGTTTAATTCCTATACATAGGATAAACTTGGCTATTTGAGAGATTTTTACAAGTCAGTAAATTACACATGGTAAATAAGTATTATTCTCAATTACATTCTGAGTTCAAGCAAATAAACTCGAATACCAATACATATAAAGCCCAAGTTTAATTCCACTGTTTGTTCTTAACAATTATGATTTTGAATCAGTACAACTGAGGGTGTGAAAATAGGATGTGACTTATTTAAATAGGGTAATAGTCAATACCAAAGTTACTACACTATATGAAGTTATCTTATGAACCTGTTACCCATTCAGTTTTGCTCAATTAAACACCAAAAATATTTACGGCAAACAGTCGACACTGGGGACTCAAAATATAACTTTCATTGTGTGTTTTTTTTAAGACCAATATAAACAATGCATTGACTTAAATAAACAGAAATCAGTAATTTAGTGGATAAAGCGTTCGGTGTTTGAAGCGTATTAGCTCTAAGTCTCCATGTGAAAATAAATGCTAAGGAGCACGTACATCTATCTGGCAGGTCCTAAATAAGACGAAATGCACTTCCTGGATTGCATTGTTAGCCATTATTTAACTTTAGTAGAACATAATAAAAGTTTACGTTTTTTTTCATACAAATCATTTTTGAATACAAAATTAAAAACATAAACAGATTAGTACAAAATACCCTTTTCCCATTACATCAGCTGGAATCACTGTCGTCATTGGTTTTTCTTTTTAGTCTTATTTACCTTTTCTAGTGATTCTGTCAGATTAGTTGGTAAACAGTAAAAGTCTGTTGTTGACCACAGAAATATTATAAAAGAACAGAATAATCCAATTGCTGTGTAGACTGAAGTAAGCATTAATGGTAGGTAAGGTAAACGTTGTTCTAAATAAGTTAACGGTAGAATTATTTTTGTGAACATAAATAATAACGTAAGACCCCATAAATGCAGACAACCAATTTTTTGTATGATATGCTGTGATCTTGATTGATCAGATCTACTTTTTTCACTATTACTGTTCACGTTTATGGGAAGAATACGAAATAGGATAAGCCAATGAATGCATGTATGTGCTAGATAAATGGATATGACAGCTGGAAATTCTATGTAAAAAAGGGATAAAACACGAAATATATCCTAATGATTTATGTATTTTTATTGAATGATATGAAATGGAAAAAATGGGATTGAATATTAAAAATACACTGTTACTAAGTCCTTACAATATCTACACTCATGATAGACATTAGCAGCTAATTGTTACTAGTTAACAGTAGCCGCTGGGTTAGTTGAAGCTTTTAAAGCCAAACTACCACGTGTTTGCACACCTGATTTACTAAAGAATGTGCATTTTTCAAAAGCTTGAGTCGACTGTAACGACTAATTAGTCGGAAATAAGTTATGTTCAGACCAAACAAACCAAACGAGACAATTATCCATATAAATAGGGTAGTACCTAGCACCCGAACATTTTATCAAACAACGTAGAACTTCGTACGTACCTACATCAGTTCGACTTGCCATAACACATTAGCACTCACATACAATTGTCGATTTAAATCCCATAGTGGTAGAGGTGGTAAGAGTATAAGCAGTACTCGGAAAGATTAGGATTTGAAGATGTTATTCAAAGAGTATAATCCAGTGAAATAAATTTGGCAAGAGAAAAAAGAAAGGGACATGAAGAATTCAGAAGATTAGAATTTGGGAAGGCACAAAGAGTGGATGCACCTGTGCTATTGCAACGATTTTGAGCCATGTCATTCAAAGTCTCTAACCATCGGTTGCTATCATCTCGCGGATCCCAAGCAGGTGGTCCTCACCTACCAACATAGCTCAGTCCACTTGTCAGTGATTTCATGGATATGTGAAAACAAAGAATTTAGGAAGAAAAGGACCGATCCATGGTAAAGCAAACTCTCTTGTCACATTTAAGGATTACGTCGATGTCTGAATCACAAATAATGTGGTTGGATATTGACTTCAGGTGTAGGTTGCTCAGAAAATTATGGCTCCCAATGTTGTGCAAAGCAAATGAGTTCAGTGACCAGATGAGCGATCTTCCATACTCAGGAATATGATTAATTATTAGATAATAATTGGATATCTCCATAAGTTTTTTTAATTGTAAAAACGTCAATTTTGCTAGTTTACAATTCATACTTTCTGATAAGCTAAGCATAAACATATTGTGAGAGAAATCCGTACCTTTTGGTAGAGTTCTTTTGTCTGAGCTTGATGGTTGAACTATGAATCTTTCCTTTTTCTTTTCAACAACATTCCCGGTACAAACGTCACATGGATGCCGTTGATGTTCAGAAGAACAATGAACGCTTCACGATTAAACCATCAAGCTCAGAAAAGACAATCATTCACCCGAACTATAAATCTTTTCTATCATCTCAAAACCAAATCGTTTCTACTGACACAGTTTTTGTAGCCCTACTAAACAGCAATATTGTAGTTTTATTACTGACCGGTTAGTCTATGCTTAATCTTTTATTGGTTACGCCTAACAACTGATAACTGTATAAACAGTTCTGATGTGTTGTATCAACATTCACATCAAAATCAGTTAACTTACCAGCATTTGTAGGGATCAATGGTATAAGGCTGTAGTATCCCAAAGTGCTCACATAAAAGGTAAGAAACCGATGTTCTCCAGAAGTCAATGTGAAAAAGCTGTAAACGAAAAATGTATTTAGGATTTTACGTTTACGCTTCAAAATAGGGGCAAATATATCGTTTAACGAGATTCTAATGACAATTTACAAAAATAAGCATATTCTGACACAGTAGCACGACATAAACGGACAAAAAGTGAAGTCTGGAATGACATAAGTATGTTTTTTCCGAAAAACAGTGCGAGTTTAATGTATTATTTTTCACATAATTCTGAGCTGAACCATGATAACGGTATTGACGACTATCATGGCTACACCAACAGATCAGACTAACACGCAGGATGCTGAGGGATTGGCGGTGTAGACTTACGGGTGGCAAGCGAGTCAGTTACACACATACCACGACCTTGTCAATAGTATTACTCGAAGTAAATCTGTATTGAGTGGAAGACATGAGAAATCAGACTAATTAACTCCTTTGGTTTGTTGTTTGAATGCTACTTCGCGTTTGCCGCTTGCAAAATTTAGACTACTGAAATTCGGCCCAAACAGTTTAAGTGACTCTATTTACCTAGTTTATATACTAAATTAAAAGATCAAACTTAACGAAACCAAAGTGAGGTTTAGTAAAGTGTACGCTATTTCTCATTGGTTTCCTATATGTTTTTTTCAAGGGTAAACGTGATAATGATAAGTTGAAAATGAAACACTCGTAACAAGAAATATTTACTTTAAAGGTAATAAAAACATTAAAACTGCTTTTTCATGAACATGCCAACCGAACATAAAACACGACCAAGCTGTTATAGTTACAGATTTCAAAAAGACACGAGAAATTACAGCAGTTGTAAAGTTGAAGAAACGACTTTTTCTAATTGATACACATAAAGTGGGCTGTAAAATAGGGAAGAAAAGTGGATAATATGGTATTATTATTATTAATATAGATAGTGCGTAATGTCTTGTTACAACCGACTCTAACAATAGGACACAAGAATGCGCTTATAATGTTCCTTTTTTCTCAGTTAGTTTTAGGAACGATCAACCATCTTTACAGATATGTATAACTAAAACTGTGAGAACATTGGTAAGCGTACAGTACAAAACCCAGATAATTATGTAGGGCTTATGTACTTGAGTTTTAGTTTTGTGACTTACAACTACTTCACCACTACAAGTTGTGGTTGAATCCCTGAGTCACTACAACACTTACACGAAGACATTAGGGTATCTAGTTACGTAGACAAAACATAATAATCTAAAGAACTTCATTAACAAGTTTGACTTTTATATTGCCACCAATAACTGTTTGGCACAAACTTAAAACATTATAGTCATTCAGGTGGTGTTTTGGGGAAGCAAAAGTTTACTTTATTATTTGAAATTGCTTATTTTACACACTTTTGTTCGACATAAGTGAATGATGTGGCATAATCAATCACAAATACAGAGAACCTGGCAACACCCCTGTCGGATTTTAATTTGCAAACCAAAGTTATCCTAATCAATCTAATTACATGAATATATATTTAAGGAAAATCGATATCACAGGCAGTCATACCAGCATGAACAGTAAGCTCAGAAGAGCTGTATGTGAAGGCCTTATAGTAGGCAAAATAACATGTTCCACATTTTCCACTAAACCACCAGTCATGGTTGCAGTAGAGGAGATTTTCTCAGGCCATACTTGAAGAACATGATCGTCTATAAAAAAGGAAAATTATAAATCGATGTAATAGATATGAAGTGTAAGTCTTAAAATCTATGTTTGTAAACATTCAGATATCATTCACCAAGAAAACAGTAGTTCCGGTATCAATATGAAAGTTACATTCAAATAAAATCTATTTATAAAAGCTTTCGATAACACTCAAGCTGTTTGCTGCCAAACAAATTTTATAACATGCACAAAGAAAAAGTAACTAAATTTTAGGGAATCATCATTATTCTCGTACCACATAAGCACAAAGAGATAGAATTATTTCAAGACAAAGCCTCTAGTTATAGAAGCAGTAACAATATCAGCAGCTGTAAGAAAAGATTAGGTAAAGAAAAAGCAAAAAGGTAAAGGAAAACTTCGGGACTCAGGTTCTAGAAGCAGACAAGTAAAAAAACTGCAAGTAACAACTAACGTGTGCACGTGTATTGATTTAACCAGTGAAGTTATGACGACGAGATAACCTCAGTTATGCAATACCATTTCACGTTCCAGAGGTGTCAATCTAGATCAACTTTGTTGGACTGAAGGCTTTTGTTATCTACAGCTACTTATTCACATTCTGAATGAGGCTGGGAGTTTTCTATGTAAAAGTGAAATCCCATAATTCAGTGCTTAAATTTCAAGCATACGTTTAAGAATTTGTAACATGATAATCTTAATCTAATTATATAATGAGATTTAAATGATATCCAGAAAGATCATTTTGACACAGATTTAACCATATTGATACGAATAAAATGTATCCAAGCGATAACAGTTTAGACGAAATCAAATGGAGCAGGATATTTATAGAAAAGGAAATAATGAATTAAGAGTTCATTTAATGAATTAACACTATTACGTAATCTTACCAAGAACATTTAATACTTTATCGACCAAATTGTATAAGGACCAGAAATTTGGAGCCCAGTATGCATGACATAGACCCCGATTAAATGGGAAAAGACGACTGAACACTTGTTTTAACTGATTCTATAATATTTTTTACATTATCATTAGACCATTTAGAACTGCAAACCATGTAAATGAAATATCCGAATGATGAAATCATCACTAAAATAACAACACTGCCAACCTTTATAAATCGATTAACAACATTGAAAAGTTCACGTTTTCCTTTATATAAATAATTATTTCAATAACAATAAAAATAAATCAACTAACCCAAACAATAGTTCATCAAAATATGAACAAAATAAGCTGGAGCTACATACATAAATATGTGCTTAAAATTTAAAAGTATAGTAAACAAGAATGATCCAATGATGTAATTTCCCTAGTAGAGTTTAGATAGATGAGAAATAATGTACATCTTACTTCAATTATATACGCCATAGATAAAATTAATATCCCAAACAAAAACCCATTGTACTGAAAATGTATATCTACAAAATTTATAGGAAAACAACTAGAAAATGAAGACAAATTTATTTTATAATTAAAATTCTACGAAAATCTTTTCACAGATTGAAATCATGAGTTAGTTGAAGCTAGACCACCATGGAAAACCTGGATGCACTGGACGGCCGTTTCGTCCTAGTACGGAACTCCTCAACAATACGCATCCACGATCCAGTGCTTCCAGGTTTTCCATGGTGGTCTAGCTTCAACTGACTCATGATTTCAATTTGTGAAATTTTCTAAAATCTCCACAAACCCCTTCTGATAATAATCATCTGCTCACTAGTGACTGACATCAAGAGATACTCCCGGAGTTCTAGTGGGAAGCCGTTACCAGTGGAGTTCAACCAGGTCTGTTGTGAGATATCAACTCACTGAAGACAATGGTATACGGTGGCGCAACTTCGTGGATTGTTTGAAGTTAGACATTAACACCGTTGGATGCCAGCTCAGTGGTCTAATGGTTAAGTGCTCGCGCGCGGAACCAGTAGGTCCTGGGTTCGAGTCCCGTGGGGTGCGGGATCGTGGATGCGTATTGTTGGGGAGTCCCGCACTAGGACGAAACTGCCGTCCAGTGTTTCCAGGTTTCCTATGGTGGTCTAGCTTCAAATGACTCATGATTTCAATCTGAAAATTTCTAAAATCTCCACAAACCCCTTCTGATGAAAATCTTTTCACAACTTATTCTTAAGTGATTTTAATGTCAGAAAAGAAAACGATTGTCTTGAAATCCTTTATATAATTGAAAGTCCAAGTTGAAGAAAAGAGAGAAGGTAAATGTTGAAAGGAAAAAGAAAAAAAGGTAGTGCAAAACGAATAAGCAAACTAATTTAAAATCTTTCATAGGTATGAATTAATTGAAGCAGTGATTGTTTGAGCATATATGTATATATATATGTTCCCACTGCTCAGTTTAGTATTATAACATAAATATATTTTTCTTAAAGTAAAATGAACAAGATATTGTTCACATGTAACACAATTTCCCAAGCATCATTTAATTGTACCTATTAAACTCATTCTATTTGTCGTTGTAGGAATACTTTAGTCATTTTACTATGGCGATTCAAGTCATTATCATACAATGTTTTCGTATAACCAACAACCAGCATCAGCTGCAAAATATACTTTATGGACGAAACAGGAAATGAAGGTATGTAGCAAAAAAATATTGTCCATTATGATTTATTTTTATTGCGTTCACAAGCTTAACTAATATGCTACTAGTGAATAGAACTGAGAGTGGTGAATACAGTAATAAATCATTCAGCACCTGGTCACATCCATGTTAAATTGTGAGAACAAACAAAAAGGATACGGTCAACAATAATCAGCCCGAAATTGAATGCAAAAAGAAAACACAGTGGATAATAACTTCTCTTCAAAAATCCACTACCGGACAGTTTCACTGAATGTAGTAATCTAAAACATATGTTCATAGTAAAACCAAATACTTCACAAGGGCTGCAAACATGAGAAGTTCTGAAATAATAACACTAAGTCGTTGGAAAATAATAAGCCCGTTTGATATGTACGGATGAGAGGTGATGGTGCAGATTTCTGGATCAATTTGATAGCTATAAATGATAAGAACCATTCGAAAAACGCAAACAGTGGAGGATAATCTAGTGTCCATACAGAAGTCTCCTAAGCAGTACATAAAAACCGCAATATAAGACAACTTACATCAAAGTACCACTTAGATATCGGCAGTGAGCATGTAATCGCAATCCAATTGCGATGTACTTCAAAATCAGTTGAATGACTAACCATATGAATAAATAAATTCCTTACTAAGAAAAGAAGAATAAAGCCTTAAAAGCAGCAGCTGCAACGATAATCGAAAGCAAAGCGATCGTAGACATGGTTAGTATGCAATATTTCTGATTGTTAGTCCTTGGAAAGTAGACGTAACAAACAAAATGTTCTTTGAGTTCTATGTATAAAAGACTGGGAACAGTTTTTATATGTGGAAGATCCAGACTATTTTCCTTATTTAAGCAAGTACCTGAAATAATAAAGAAAACAAATTACTAATTGCTAACGTCTGGAATGTACGAATTCAAGTAGTGACCAAAGGCCGCACTTAGAATATGTTATCTTAGTAACAACAACCCATAAACTATGTCTATCCTTTATTTGAAAGAATAGACCGAATCAAATAAAATACCTCGGAGTTTGAATCCCGCAGCTATTAATATTAAACAGTTAACATGAATATTTGTATCCTTCTGAAGTCAACGTGAAAATCCCGTAGCCAAACTACTGGAATTATATGTACGAAATCACTGTTGATCAATGAGATCTTTTTAAAGGTTTAGCAACCTAAATTTGGTAAGACATAAGATCACAGCAAATTTTCATCGTGATCATTACATCATTGTTGATTAATCGGTTACTGAATCCTTAAGAATAACCTTACTTTTCACTTAGCTAATGAAGCATTTGATTGGTCTGGTAACTTCACAAGCTCCACTTTCATGAACCCAAAGTAAAGCAAAGTGTGCAAATATTTCCACGAATGTAAACGTGAAAGTCGCTCTTAAAAGCAAAATCTTCGCAGAACACTTTCTGAAAGGTTTAATAGGAAGTGATTAAGGACCAGCCCCCCAAATGCCCTAGTACGACCGAGCGTGGAGAGAAGTTAGCTCCCCCTCACATGGCCACGCATATACAACCACCGTCCTCCCGCGGCGGGGTGTGGTTTACGAAATTGGGAGGACGAAAAGTGAATTTCCGGGGCTTTAACCGGGTTGGTGGATATGGAGGATGCACCTATAGGAATTCGAAAACCCTTATTCCAAACCAATGGAGCACATGGAGTCCAGGATCCTGAGGAAACAAATGGCGTATTGACCAATTATTGGTCACCGACTACAATGGGACTGCATCTCCTGACGTTGCTCCACTGCCTTGTGGATCAGACCTTTAGGTCGAAGGTTCCGGATGTCGCCCCTCAAGAAAACCACCTGCTTCGGTCTAGGCACCCGGGCAGTATCACAGCCCATACACAAATCAAGTGAGTTGTGTGGCGCATGTGTATTGGGTGCGTCTTTGTACCAATATTTATGTGTTCAAATAAATAAATAAATAAAAGGCATTGATACCGAAAAACCAAACTAAGACTTAGAGGCGATCTACTTGAGACCGAAAAGTTTTTAATAATCACTTGTGATAAGCTGATGTTACACACACCTGTTGTGCTATGCCACGTAAATTAAAATATCAACGCTTCCATGAGAACTGAAAATCAGGTTGTTTGCTTACTATTTCCTGAATAGAGGTCAAGAATGTGTAGATTTTATGCAGCAATAGTAGTTTTAATCAGCAAGAATGTAGTGTTAAGTCAGGGAATGTGGGACCAAACGCGAGTCAAAATGTAACATATATATGAAATTATATAGTCTCTTGCGTTTAAAGCAGTTCAGTCTTCAGTAATAAGAACAGTAGGTTTGTGGACTTGTGGTTAACCTTGAGTTTGCCTTCGAGAGAAGGTTCAGGTTCTCCCTGAAAATGTTCACCGACGAGGCTGACACCACTTATTCGGGTAAGGCGTTCCAGTCATTGACCACTCGATGAGGAAAACGGAACCCCACGCGCTCGTTTCAAAAAGGACAGTGATTTTTGTGCTTGTCGTGATTATCTTTGCTTTGTGTACTTGTTGCACCAAAAAGCATTCTTGGTCTACTTTAACTAAAAGTACTTTGGTTAAGGCTTGAAATTTTTGCTAAACTTTGTCCTGTGGTACCTTTTTTATTCACTGACTAACACTCGTGTTCACATTGTAATCATATTGTGTTTTAAACCTTTTTAATCAAATTACAATGGTTAGTAAGACTTATAAATGTGAACAACCAAACTGCTTGTTCCCCGTTGAGGAAGGAATGCAGTGCGATAATGTAAAAAGTGGTACCATAAGATGTGTACACGTCTAAGTCCTACGGCATACAAAAGATGCCCGAAGCCAGACTCGTATTGGCTTTACATGTTTTGCTGTACAAACAAGTTACTAATTCAGGAGGCTATGAGCCTATTGGCTTTGGCCTGTAAGAAAAACGATGACGGTTGCGTTGATAACACGAGTACTGACGGTGAAGAATGTGTCAGTGTAGTACGCGCTGCTACCGGACCCGCTAAACACCCGACTGTGATTGACGAGAAAGTGAAATCTCCGTTAACATTAACGAGAGGTGAAGTGCCGCTTGATATCGACATCGGTAATCATACACCTCTAGTGGACTTCAGTGCGGAGAAAAAGAAATAAGAAGAAAAAAGCTGTAGGCAAAACACAGTTTGTTAGCAAGTCATTGGAAGAGACGGTATCAGAAACAAAAACTCCACTGCGTATCAAGACAGATCTCTCTGAGAGGTCAGTCATTTTTCATAAGTTGAGAGAATCTTCTTATAAGGAACCAAAGGCTAGATTTGAACACGATTTCAGTCATTTTCAGTCATATTAAGTCCTTAATAAGCAAACTACTCCCAGATACAGTTTCAAGAGTTAGTATTTGTAAGCTTTATAGAATAGGACAAAAGGTGGATCCTGAAAGTCCTCAGAAAAACCGCCTCTTGAAGGTTACATTTGCCACGGTTGAAGAAAGGAACCTGATTCTAGGTAACTCACGTGAACTGATTAGATCCGGAATATATGCCCGCGAGGATCTCAGCCTAGCTGATAGTATTAAGAGACGAGCTGCAGAAGTGGAAATAAATGAGCGTCGCCGAAACGGTGAAAGAAACCTCGTTCTTAAGGGTTTTTAAATTGTAAAATTTCGGAGCAGAACGATCCCCAAACCACTCTGGGTGGTAAGGGAAAGTTCTCCACAAACTTAAAGGTATGCTACACAAATGCTCGCAGCCTACTAAATAAAATGGCGGAGCTCAAGTCAGTGGTGGATAAAGAAAAACCGGATGTTATTGCTGTCTCGGAAACTTGGTTAACGTCAGAAGTATTAGATACTGAAATTCAGTTGACTGGTTTTTTAACCAGTAGGGCTAATAAATTAAGCTGTGGGGGAGGCGGGGTTATCCTATACACGAAAAGTACCCTAACCATAAGACCAACTGAGACATTGGCACATGTTTCAGGGACATGTAAACTGAAATGTAGATGGCAAGATATTGAATTAGTTGTAGTATATCGCAGTCCAGAATGTGTAGCAGATGATTTTTTCCTAAGTAAACCTAAGTCCTGGTTTAACAAGGGTAAAAGTCTTGTAGTAGGCGACTTTAATACACCGTATACAAACTGGTTTAACTTAGAAATAGGGTCACCGACAACGCTATTTGATTGCAAACTGTTAGAAACCTCGATTGCATTAGCTTTATTCCAAGATATGACTTAAGAAACTCTTCTTCTCTTTTAGATTTGGTCTTCAAACACGGTGATGACGTTGGTCGAATGACTTCCCTCCCACCACTAGGGAGAAGTGACCATGCAGTAATCTTATTCAATCAACTCTGCAGCGTCGTCTGAAAACTTAGAAATTGACCCAAGGGCATCAGTACAAGAGGCATGGACTCATTTAAGAGTTATACAATCGGCTAACTCAACCATACATACCCTGTACAGTCCCAAAGAAGAAGCACGACCATCCCTAGATAGGCCGGGATTTTCGACGTTTACTAAGACAAAAGAAGAAATGTTGGGATGTTGTCATCCGCCTTGGCACAGCAGGTACAATGGAACGCTACAGATCGGTAAGAAACAAGTGTATAACAAAAATCCGGGAAGCCCAAAGAAAATATGAAATGCAGTTGACACAATCCTCACTCAAGCAAGCCAAGAGAATATTCTCGTACATAAACTACAGAACAAGCATGCATCATTGGATTCCCAACCTAATTAAAGAAGGAGGCGGATCTAAAATGATAGAGGAAGATCAGAAAAAAGCAGAGGCTATGGCTGACTATTATGGGACAGTTTTCACTCTCGAACCAGATGAAGAAGTAGACCCAAATACAAAGTCAACAAACCAACTGCTGACTGTGAACTTTGATTGAAACAATGTACTTAAGGCTCTTGACCACTTAGACATGGAAAAGTCAAAAGGACCAGATGAACTACACCCCGAAATCCCGAGACATATTACACAGTATATCGCAGCCCCACTGACTGTGATATTCAATATATCACTTGACCAGGGTGACCAAGGTTACCTATGGACTGGAAGGATGCGATCGTCACTCCCACACATAAAACAGGACCAAAACAGCTCCCATCGAACTACAGACCTGTCAGCCTCGCCAGTGTTGTAGTTAAAGTATTGGAAAGACTAGTCAAAAAGACCATAATGACACTTGTGGAAACCAACAACTTGTTAAACAGAGAACAACATGATTTTAGAAAGGGTTTATCTCGCACAAAAAACCTCCTTATAGCAAGGGAGCATTGGATAAATGCGTTAGACAATGGAAACTCAGTGGATGTTGTCGACATAGACTTCAGTAAGGCTTTTAACAAGGTGCCAACTAATAGACTGCTATTGGAGTTGGAAAACCTTGGTATTGCCGGACCTCTTTTAAAATGGATTAAGGATTCCCTGGTAGGTCGTAGACAGAAAGTAAGAATAAATCCCAAGTGCTCCATCTGGAGACCAGTACTTAGTGGGGTACCTCAAGGTTCTGTCCTAGGTCCTTTACTTTTTATAATGTATGTTAATGATCTACCAAATATAATCCAGTCTCCAATGTTATTATACGCTGACGACGTAAAGATCTGGCGAGTAATAACTGGAGACGCAGACGCGTGTGCTCTTCAGGCAGAGTTAAATAATATGATTAACTAGTCTAAAGAGTGGTTGATGCCTATCAACACGGCAAAGTATGTCTACATACACTTTGGGGATTAAAAGGTTAATAGGTACAACATAGGGGAAGTGCCATTACCTGTGATCCGGTTTCATAAGGATCTAGGGGTGACAGTGAGTCATGATCTTAAGACGACGGCCCGTTGCCGGGAGGTCGCAGCTAAGTGGTTTCGAACGATCTAGGCTTTAAAACGGACATTCACTAAGTTAGATACTACCATGTTCACCACAGTATACACATCCTTAGTGAGAACTAAGCTTGAGAAGTGTGTTCAGGTTGCAACCCCTGTTTAAAAGGTGACTCGGATATCCTAGAAAAAGTACCGAGGGCAGCTACCCATGCACGCCCACAACTCCGGGGTTTACCATAGAAAGAGCGGCTTGAAAAGCTGGACCTCTTTACTCTGTCCTATCGCAAATTAAGGGGAGATCTAATTTTGATGCACAGAATATTGAGAAATGATTTTGAACCTAACATATTCTCTTTTTCTCCCCACTAGATCGGGACATCTCAGAAGACACAGCGGGCGAGTAGAAAAGCTAAGAACGGACAAAATACCTGTGACACACAGGTTTTCACACCGAGTCATCAATACTTGGAACCTGTTACCCGAAGCAGTGGTGTCCGCACCTTCAATTGACTTTTTCAAGAGAAGACTGGATACTCATAGAAGCATACTAGAAAAAGAATAACACAGGCCGTAGGCCTTCTGTCCTTACTACACAAATCTGAATCTGAAGTTTATTTAATAGCAATTTGTGAACCTTCTTGTTATGTCCTCGGAGATTATTAGTGCTGGAAGGAGCAAAATGATAAGACATATTAACACCTAAGTCGTAATTAAATATACTAAATGCCAAAATAAGGTCACCTCGCATCCGACGATACGATAAGGAGAAAAGGTTTAGGCGTTTTAAGCGCTCATCATAAGAGAGTTTAGGAAGACCCCTCATTAATTTTGTTCCCACACGATGGACACGTTCAGGTGAGTTGGGACCCCTGATCAAATATGGGCCAGCTGCTTAGATAAAGTGCTCTAAGTGTAGTCTTACATAGGTGGGATATAAAATTCGAAGAATCTCGTCAAAGCATTTGAATGCTCGTTGACGTAACTATAACGCACAAAGACCTTTATCAGCTGCTGTGTTGCAATATGTAGTGGTTTTCAAATTGTGACTTGTCATTACTCCTGAGTCTTTGTGTTCATGAACATATGGAAGAGATATACCATCAATAGTATACTGGTAATTACCAGTAATAGTTAACTACTATCGGTTGACCCCATGTTTAACATTTCGTTTGTCTCCATGCTTTTTGGACTAGGTTTGCTTCCTTTATTATAGAGGCTTACAATATTAAAATACTAAGGCATGATTACGTGATTTCACATCAAAAACCCAAGCGTAACACTGACCTTGAAGATGACCTCGACAACACGAGTCGCTGTACAAGGTCAAAACTTTACACGCCGCGGTCACTGCTGAGGATTTACATTTTAAAACAAACCACCATTGTCTTTTAGCTGATCAAACTTTCTTTAGAATGAGTCTACAGATGGAGCTCCAGCCATGTGTGAAAGTAATCAGTCTTCAGTAATGAGGATAGGAGGTCTATCGACCTACAATAATCCTTGCAGTTTGTAGCACTATGGAGGTCCAATCCCATTTTGAATATATCAACAGATTTTGTTTATATTACGTGTTCTGGTAGAAAATTCCCATAATTCACTACTCAGTGCGGGAGACGAAACTCGAGACGTAGACGATTTGATCTCGGCTTTTAAAATTTCTTAGAATGTCCTCTCAGATGATCAGTTATAGTCGGACGGAAAGTTGGGTTCCTACGATGTGAGAGCTCTATTTACCCTTACCCTCTATCTTTTGTCACGGAGAAAGTCACTAAGCCAGTCTACGACCTTACAACGCATTCCAAAACTTTCCATTCTTAATTTAATATTCTAATCGGGCACCTTATCAAGGGCTTTACTCAGATCTATGAAAATCACATCTAAAGGAATATTTTGATCTTCTCCCATGACCCGATCTTTTCCTTCAATGAGAAGATTTGTCAAACATGACAGGCCTTCCCGAAAACCATGATGTTCCCTGGAAAAACGTTTATGCCCTTCCACACAGTTTATAAAGGCCATCCGAATAGTTTTTTCCACTAGTTTTACAGCTGCATTGGTTAGACTAACAGGCCGATAGTTACTAATTAAATCTCAAATTACCGCGTTATACGCTTGACTAACTATTGCGTCATTCCGGTCTCTTAGCAGTTTGGACTGCCGCAGAAACAATATCAAGCAGTATTGCTAGAGATTCAGCAATTACATGTGATATGGCTTTCATAAGCCTAGGATGAATATCATCAGGACCACTGGACTTGTCCGGTTTGAGATGCCGAAGTAGTCTTAAAACAGTATCTTTCTCAGTGACTACAGGATCTATCAACAAGCCGCCACAATCACAATAGCTCTTTGGTTGTTCTTCATTATTGATAGGAAACAATTTAGTGAAATATTCCGATGAAGCTTCCGCTTTTCAACAACATTTCTTGCCAACATTAACGGATTTTCTTGTACCAGAAGTGATGGAATTCCATAGCTTCTTGAAGTTCCCCTTTTTATGTACGAGAATAATCGTTTCGGACCATATCTACAATACCTAACTGATCGATCTTACTTACTAACACTTCACAAGCATCCCTAATCTTACAATAAATGGATCTGTATTGTTCTAAGTCAACTCCGCCAGGAGTCCCTCCGGGGGCTACTGCCGGTCCCAAGCCCGGATAAAGGAGGAGGGTTGGGCATGGGGTTAGCGTCCCCATCCCGTAGAAAACTAACTCGCTAAAAAAACGCTAACCAGAAAAAATTATTCAAACCTTTTAAACTCTGCCCTGGGAGTCAGAAGGTCTTCATTTAGAAGAATTATGACGCCTCATGATGAAAGCCGAATTCCTTCGGAAGTTACGAGGCCGATGCCCCTTCTGACAACCAGAGCGACCATTTATTTAGGTACATGGAATGTTCGTACAATGTGGGACACCGGGAGAGCCTTCCAAATTGCTGCAGAAATGAGAAGATACAACCTAGAGGTACTTGGGATCAGTGAAACACATTGGACACAAGTTGGACAACAACGACTAACTACAGGAGAGCTCCTGTTATACTCCGGCCATGAAGATGAAAATGCACCACATACACAAGGAGTTGCATTGATGCTGTCCAAACAAGCGCAAAATGCGCTTATAGGATGGGAATCTCATGGACCAAGGATCATCAAAGCCTCGTTCAAAACAAAGAAAGAGGGCATTTCAATGAACATCATCCAATGCTATGCGCCTACCAACGACTACAATGAAGACGCTAAAGATCAATTCTACAATAGGCTGCAGTCAATCGTCGAGAAGTGCCCAACAAAGGACCTGACAATTCTGATGGGAGATTTCAACGCCAAGGTTGGAACGGACAACACTGGATATGAAGACATCATGGGACGACTGGGAGAAAGAAACGAAAATGGTGAGAGATTTGCAAATCTATGTGCCTTCAATAAACTGGTCATAGGCGGCACCATATTCCCACATAAACGCATACACAAAACCACATGGACTTCACCGGATCACTACACAAAACCAAATCGACCATATTTGCATCAACAAAACGTTCAGGAGGACTATAGAGGACGTGAGAACCAAGAGAGGAGCTGATATAGCATCAGATCATCACTTGCTGGTCGCCAAGATGAAATTGAAACTCAAGAAGCACTGGACAACGGGGCGGACAATATCACAAAAGTTCAATACGGCCTTTCTTCAGGATACTAACAAACTCAACAAATTCAAGATAGTCCTCAGCAACAAGTTCCAGGCCTTTCATGATCTACTCAATGGAGAAGGAACTACTGTGGAGAGCAACTGGAAGGGGATCAAAGAGGCAATCACTTCAACATGTCATGAGGTCCTGGGTCACAAGAAGCACCATCACAAGGAATGGATCACTGTTGATACACTGGATAAGATTCAAGAAAGGAGGAACAAGAAGGCAGCAATCAATACCAGTCGAACAAGAGCAGAAAAAGCCAAGGCACAAGCTGAATACACAGAAGTAAACAAACAAGTGAAGAGGAGCATCAGAACCGACAAACGTAAATATGTGGAAGATTTAGCAACGACGGCGGAAAAGGCTGCAAGAGAAGGAAACATGAGACAATTGTATGACACGACAAAGAAACTCTCTGGAAATCGCCGCAAACCAGAACGACCAGTGAAAAGCAAGGAAGGCGAGGTAATCACCAACATTGAAGAGCAACAAAACAGGTGGGTAGAACACTTCAAAGAACTCTTGAATCGACCAGCTCCACTGAACCCACCCAACATCGAAGCAGCACCCACGGACCTCCCAATCAATGTTGGCCCACCAACAATTGAAGAAATCAGCATGGCCATCAGACAAATCAAGAGTGGCAAAGCAGCAGGACCGGACAACATCCCAGCAGAGGCACTAAAAGCAGACGTAGCGGCAACTGCAAGGATACTCCACATTCTCTTCAATAAGATTTGGGATGAGGAACAAGTACCAAAAGACTGGAAAGAAGGACTTCTGATCAAAATACCGAAGAAAGGCGATCTCAGCAACTGTGATAACTACAGGGGCATCACTCTTCTCTCAATACCGGGAAAAGTCTTCAACAGGGTATTGTTAAACAGGATGAAGGACTGCGTAGACGCCCAACTTCGTGACCAACAGGCAGGATTCCGTAAGGATAGATCGTGTACAGACCAAATCGCAACTCTACGGATCATTGTGGAACAATCAATTGAATGGAATTCATCACTCTACATCAACTTCATTGACTACGAAAAGGCATTTGATAGCGTGGACAGAACAACACTATGGAAACTTCTTCGACACTACGGCGTGCCTCAGAAGATAGTCAATATCATACAGAATTCATATGATGGATTACACTGCAAAATTGTGCATGGAGGACAGTTGACAAAGTCGTTCGAAGTGAAGACCGGTGTCAGGCAAGGTTGCTTACTCTCACCCTTTCTCTTTCTCCTGGTGATCGACTGGATCATGAAGACGTCAACGTCTGAAGGGAAGCACGGGATACAATGGACATCTAGGATGCAGTTGGACGATCTAGACTTCGCAGATGATCTGGCCCTTCTATCCCAAACGCAACAACAGATGCAGGAGAAGACGACCAGTGTGGCAGCAGCCTCAGCAGCAGTAGGTCTCAATATACACAAAGGGAAAAGCAAGATTCTCCGATACAACACAGAATGCACCAATCCAATCACAATTGACGGAGAAGATTTGGAGGATGTAAAAACCTTTACGTATTTGGGCAGCATCATTGATGAACAGGGTGAATCTGATGCAGATATGAAGGCGCGGATCGGCAAAGCAAGAGCAGCATATTTACAACTGAGGAACATCTGGAACTCAAAGCAGCTGTCAACCAACACCAAGGTCAGGATTTTCAACACAAATGTCAAGACAGTTCTACTGTATGGGGCAGAAACCTGGAGAACTACGAAAGTCATCATCCAGAAAATACAGGTGTTTATTGACAGTTGTCTACGCAAAATACTTCGGATCCGTTGGCCGGACACTATTAGCAACAACCAACTGTGAGAAAGAACGAACCAGATCCCAGCGGAGGAAGAAATCAGGAAGAAGCGCTGGAAGTGGATAGGACACACATTGATGAAAGCACCCAACTACGTCACAAGACAAGCCCTCACATGGAATCCTCAAGGCCAAAGGAAAAGAGGAAGACCAAAGAACACATTACGCCGAGAAATGGAGATAGACATGAGAAAAATGAACAAGAATTGGATGGAACTAGAAAAGAAGGCCCAGGACAGAGTGGGTTGGAGAATGCCGTTTGGCGGCCTATGCTCCATTAGGAGTAACAGGCGTAAGTAAGTAAGTAATTGTTCTAAGTCAGTAGAAATGAACATATTCCAGTGCTTCTTCCTTTTTCTAAGAAATTTCATGACTCGTTTAGTTGTTCATGGTGGACTGTTATTCGGTCTACGTGGTAGCAGGTATAGTATGAACGAGGACGTAACGAAACCAACTTGGCTCTAAATATATACCATGCTGCTTCAACTGATGAGCTAGTATATAGTGTCCAATCTGCCTTAGTAGCGCACTCCTGAATGGCTGATATATTAGCTTGAAGAATTAGGGTCTACTACGGTATTAGTACTACTCTAAAATAAGACCCAATCCTAAAATTGCAGATTTGTCATGATGTGACTGCCTAATCTATAAGATCATACGCAGAAGTCACATCATTGTCTACACTGATTCATCGTACCGTAACAATTATCAATATATGATGGAGAACAAACTTGAGCTAGAGATAGAACAATATATTTAATATGAATAAAAGAGTATGTTGCAACACTTAAGAGTGACCATGCTGCAAGACCGAGCCATGCTGTCCGATCAATCATTAAATTCGTTGTTACCGCCTTCTCTATCGTTGGGTTTTTCTCCACGTTAAATGTTGAAATTTATTTTCCCAATTGTCTCGTGCTCAGCTTTGACGATTGTGTGGTTAGGGCCCAATGCCACTACAAGCTCTCCATACACTTGGGTGAGGCTTAACCTAGTCGTATATCATGTCACTAGCTCCAAAAGTGAATGACAAAACAGCGTGATTGCTGTTCACTAACGGTGGAAGAATATTTAGGTTGGCAATATTCTCAGTCTCATAAGTGACTGTCAAACCCAACACCGAAGAACCTTGGTTAGCACCAGAACGTGTGGGTTTGAATACATGCTGTACTAATGTATGCTCGATTACTGTTATCAGGAACTTATCATTAAAGGAGTTTATAGATCCTTCCGTGGTAATCTCAGTCCAACTAATATCAGGTACATTAAAGTCTCCTAATCTTTTATTTGCACTCTAT